GTGGACAAATTAGGACAAATGTTTTTTTTTTTTCTAGGGGAAACATCATTTTTTATTTTATTTATTTTTTTATTTATTTAAAGGAGGCTAGCCCAGCCATAACGCATTGGTTTTATTTTTCATTATTGGGGTATCTGTCAATCACAGTGTTTTCATTACATGTACATTTCTTGTGGACTTAAATATGTATTATGTGTATATTAAATGATTCCGAGGCAACCTAGAATTCTGTGTTTTACAGCATAATGGACAACCTTCCTAAGTGTTCGGCTTTACACACGATGATTAACCACTCCAGCACTATCATTTTATCCTTCCCCTTCATTACCAGGCAATTTGTCAGTTTTTAGCACCGTGCAAGTTTGGCTGAGAATCTTTCAGTTAAGCAACACTAACAAAATTCATTTTATATCATTTTTTGTGGCAAATAGAGTTGTCTTTTGGTGGCATTTATTAAACACTTTTTTATTTATTTTACTATATAAAGTAAAAAAAAGACCAAAAAAAGCTTGAAAAAACGTTTGTCTCATTTATAAATCTTAGCAAATAGTTTCAGAACGGTATGAAAATGCCCGAAAGGACCTCCTTTTTGGAAAGTAAATGCTCCAAGTTGATCTGATTTTTATGCAGCATTTTTTTGGAAATGAAAAAATATGGTGGTTAAAATGGAGCTTGCTAATAGTGCACAAGATACCATATATATTTACAGGTCAGACAGAGGGAAGGGGTTAATGTATGAATGTATAGGATAAGAGGGTAAAGGATTAATATACAGGTCAGAGCATACAGAATAGTTCTAACATAAGTGGGAAAGGAGGGGGGTCAAAGTCAAAATGAGTTGAAACTTTGTGTATTTTAGCTACTACTGCAGTTTATTTTTTACTGGGAAGTAATTAATGGATGACTTATCCATTCCTTGCTTGCTTTATTTTTCCTGCATCTCATGTCAGAGGAAGGGGAGGGCTTTGCAATGTAAACATGGCAATGTAATTGTTGTGATCACAGGACACAACACAGAGCCGGTCCAAATGGCTCTGTGTGTAAAGCTGCGGCTCTCAGCTGTCTGACAGTGGGAGCAGCGGGCACATGCGCTCACGGGAGGACGTACAGGTATGTTCTCCCACAACAATGCACCAGGGGACCAGCCACTGTATTAAAAGGGGTGGCTAAGTCCAGGCTCGGCGCTACCGCAAGGCAAGTCAGGCGGCCGCCTGAGGGCGCTGCAGGGTGAGGGCGGAAAAAACAGGGCATTTTGACAAGTACTTGTCAAAAAATTCCTGTGTAGGCAGGAATCCTAGCACCGGCCCTGGCTAAGTCTATTAGAAATTTCCAATATTGATAATGCATTAGTATTTTTTGGCACATCCTAATGCTGTTGTGATGCTTGCATAACGTTTTGGCTGTCTTGAGTGTAATAAGCTGTTATTGGTTTACAAAAAATCTGTGTCATACAGAGTATCTACCTCTCTTTTTGGAGATGACTAGAACTAAGTTTTAACACATTGGTGCTCCTTGTTGTGGCTAAATCAAGGTTCTATGAGCTGCTTAGATGTTCAGGTACATATGAAAGTACTTCCAGCTACATGGTTCAAAAGAGTCGCTGCAGACATGAGCTGATTTTGTTTCTATCTTGAATGTTATTACAGTGAGCTATTGCCACCTTGTTTTTGGGTCAATACAGCCTCAGAAATCGGCAGTTACCCTAAGTCTTTGCAGTGTGCACATTCTAAGGGAACATTGTCATTATCCCTAATGGCAGTCTTGGCCTATTTAAGGAGGTGCATTTTTTTCTGTAAAATGTGGTCATGTTTGCTGCTTTAATTTTTGCATTTTGTTCTGTAAACACGGTCCCATACAAAAGGGAATGCTATTTAAATTGTTGGATTACTTCACCAAACAGCAATGTTAATGTTCAAGGATCCCAGGCAATGTGGAAGCGACTTATGATTGAAAATAACTAATAAGGGAAAGTACTGATGAGCGGAGCAATCATCCTTCACTCCAGATAGCTAAGTGTAGTTCATGTGCATGGATGTTCTGTGACACCATGTATTGGTTCAAGGACTCTGGGATCTGTGCTTTTCATTCAACCCATCTTTTTTCACATCTGAAAGAGTCCCTAAAGCATTATTGTCTGAAATGGCAATAATGATGATACTGTTAAGATAAAGCAGATGCCTTTTTATAATATTGCAGTAACGTTTCTTTTTCTCAGTATTTTTTAAAGAGCTCCAGATTGTAAATAGAGGAAATAAAATGTAACTGTATAGGAGGGAACTTCTGCTGTTTAGTGAAAGTTCTACAATTGCATTAGTAAATAAGTGCGTGTGCTAATAATGTGCTCATAACAACATTAATGTTAAATCCAGACTTTCTTTTAGATAGGGTAGGGTTAGAACCATTTTAAGGTTTTTAAAGGAGAACTATGGGGTTAGGGCTTTTCCCCATAGTTCTCCTAAGGGTAATGGGAGGACACAAACTAGCGTCCTCCCGTCACCCTAAGCTCAGTATACCGCGAGCTGCAGCTCGCGGTATACTGAGACACCGCAGCTGAAACGGATCCCGACAATTATGTCTGGATCCGCCCCGCTGCGTGAGTGACAGCTGGCTCTGCCTATCTAGAGGCAGAGCCAGCTGTAC